CTCTTCCCCTATATTTGGAGGTTTATAGCAAATACCCACGAGAAGTTTACGGCTAGCGTCCGTCATATCTAGCTCCAGCCATAGAGTTTCCACGTCTTCCCCATTATTTGACGTGATATCGTCCCTTATATGCACATTTACATTATTTTTTACGTAAATGCAAACACCCCCCCTTCTCCCACCTCTGTCCCTCCTAAACAGGTTATACCCCTCTATATTAGTAGCCCAGTCATGCGTGCTGTCCAGCCAGGGTTCCGCTATACCCACGTTCTATGTCGAAGTCCTCTTCAATTAACCTAATTTCAAGCTCCTCTATTTTATTTGCCAGACTTCTAGCGTTGGTGTACATACATTTAATTCCTCTCTTTTTGTGGGACAAAAGTTTATTACCTTGTTGTTCCCCACTATTATTGTTATTATTCTGCCTTGATTTCGGTCGTCCGTTGGTAGTTATACTTACATGTGCCAACGGATTTCCTATATTGACTGGAGTGAGCCCACTATTATTAACTCCTTTTTTACTACTTTCGGTGTTATTTTTAGCTATGATTAAATTATCTACGTTTAATTTAAGTAATTTTATTTTTATACCCTCCCCCCCACTTTCTAGTTTAAAAGCTCCTCCAGTCTTTCTACCATTTTCCCCCCCAGGAATGCTGCACCTTTCCCATTAGGATGCAGCCCGAAACACTAGAAGTTGCTGGGGACCAAGGGCCATACCTTAAGTGCCAAGAGGCTCTTGAGCAGCAGGTCGGCTACCAAGATTGGAGAGACTGTTTGTCCTGTGCAGCTGACGAAACAATGATTTACTCAAAAGGCATGCTTATAGATACATATCAGCTGCATATCTTTTGCCGTGCTAATAGTGAAATGACATAGCAAATGCACATTTGCTATGCTAAAATGCACATTCAGATTTTTTAATACAGAGCTACAGAAGTGTTCTGCTGAAGAGTACAAATTAGTAAATTGCAGTTTTCAGGCATGCTAGCTCAAAACTTCATATTTTATAGAGAACGGACCAAAGAAACATATTGGATTGTCAAAAGATTTTCTAAATAATTGTGTCATCTTAACAACAGGATTTTAGAAATGCAATTTTGAATTAACTCTTGAATATTGTAAATATTGTAGGGCAGTGGAAATTAAAGATTAATCTCTCGATTAATCGTTAAACTTTTTGATCGATTACAATTATTTTGATCGCTAATGAAAACACTCACCTCTCTGCCGGCTTCCGGGAGTCCCGTCGGCGATCCGGTGTCGTCACGGCTAACGAAGGGACGGGGGAGGAGTCCTGTGACGTCGATGTCCGTGATGTCACCGGACTCCTTCCCCCCTTCATTAGCCGACGGAGCCACTTGGGCCGGTGAGTTTGCCCAAGAAACTTTCTGCACGAGCGCCAGCCAAGGCATTGGCCTATACACATACAGCACAGCAATGAAGTAATAAAATGAACTAGGATCACACTAATCCAGCACGTTATTATTCTGAGTTGCCCCACTCAAGCGGCGGCCATATTGAGATTGTGAGATTAATAACGTGTTGAATTAATGTGATCCTAGTTCATATTATTACTTCATTGCTGTGCTGTATGTGTATAGGCCAATGTAGTTGGCTCTGTATGTGCGTTATAATTAATCGAAATTAATCGATTAAAAATGTTTTCGATTAATCAAACACGAAAATTTTAATCATTACCAGCCCTAAAATATTGTAAATAGAACATACTGGGAGACTGGCATCAAAGCATAAATCACACAATGCTCTATAGAAAACAAGCACCTACTGTATTTGTAAATGTGCACCTTAATTTAAAAGCTAGTTATAAATTGATGAGTGTGGTTGCCATTTGCCTTACACTAAACCAATGATCACATAAGATCATTATGACTAATGACTAAACTAACAGTGATCAGTTTATAGCAAATATTATTGTAATTGAATACTAATGTTTTAAAAATAGTGTTCTTGTATGTAATACAAGAACATAAAAGTTTGAAATGATTTTGTGAGTAAAATGGCTATTTTTTTGGCAAGTATCACTGTTCCTTTTACTCACTGGAAGTCTCCCAGTCAGGTCTGACAGTTTGTAAACATCACACTCTCTATGAGGCTAAGGGGACTGATTGTAGTAAAATAGTCTGGTGTAAAAGTAGTTTGGATTGTGTTGATATTGTTGAGATGACAAAGAAGCCAGAAGCCGCTTCACAACCACAGTTAACCTTTACCTGTTGAGGGACCTTGGCTGAGAGTTGAAATGTAGAAATAAATAAAAATGAATGTGTGAGTCAGTCTAGTTCAAACAATCATATTTAATAAAAGTTGGTAGGCAACACATTTCGGGGGCTATGGAATCATCTATTTAACGGCTTGTGATTGCCCAGAGCAGCCGCTGCAGGAGTAGTCTGTGTTTGTGTGTGTCAGAGTTTATATTGGAGGAGAATTTGCATATAAACTCTGACACATGACTGTAGTGAAAGACAGACAAGCACTAGAAGGAGAATATACAAATTGGTGCATGTAATATAATAATGAAATTATGGTGCAGCAAGCATGGAAAAAAAATGCAAAGGTCACATAGTGCCTAAGGTGAGCAGTACAATAATAAAAGTATGTGCTCAGTGAAAATATACCATAGGCTCATTTTAAAAGAAACCTAACGCCAAAATACTTTTGTGCTGGTATTCTCTTTTCATTAAAGATACATTATCATGATTTGTGGTCAATTTAATTTCATTTTTTAGTGCATACAAGTTTATGAACTCATCTTTTATATCATGTTTTTAGTTATTTGTGTAAAAGCTTTCCTTAACAAACATACTAGGTGATCCCATTTTGATTAGGCTGCAGAGTATGGCAGGCTTTCACATTAGAAAGCCCACCACTGGCTGCTCACTTTTTACTACCTGCCTAATTAAAGCTCCAAATGGATCCATATGAGCTAGCAACCGGGAGGGAACCATTCCCTACTTTAATTAATTCAGTGGTATGCGAGTTGGAATTTGACCTAAACACCACAAGATCAAAATCACACAGACAGTACAGTCTTTTCACAGCTCAGCAGTTAACCACTGCAGAAAATATGGGGTTGACCACCTCCAGAAAGCCAAAGGCTGCAAGTGAAATAACCTCATGAGCAGTATTTCACAGTCACCTGGAAATAAACAATTTTTAAAAAATGTTTGCTTCCTGAGCACAACTTAAATCATTTTACATTTCCATTGAAGTGAAACACAACAAACGAGCCCATCAAAGTCAATAAGGACAGTTTACATTTAGCCAGACTCTTTCTCCCAGCCGAACAACTTTTAATCACAATTACCCTGAAACTTTCTGAGATTTGGGACCGCTGAGCGCTCGCTCCTCTGGCAGGTGAATTGTGTAGCCTGCTGCCAGCAGTATATAATGCCACATGTATTATTATCACAAACAGGCTATTTTTCCAGTTTGGGAAGATAGGAATGGTTATGTGGAAAAAAATGAAAAGGAAAAAACCTTATTATAGCAGCTTATGTTTTTCTTCAAAGGTAACCACATCAGCCTCAATGTAGACTCATCAGATTCACAACAGTCCATCTAATGATGAGGAACCAGGTTGGATATCGACCCTAAAAACATCTTATTTACTTAAATCATTTACTAACATTATGGCACATTTTACACGTTGGCTGGCCACTTCCTTGTTGTTGATACCCACCTGCTGGTGTCTGCATCAAGAGATTGCCTGTAACTATCTATCTGGAGGCTGATCACACCTATGCACTGATTACCTATTCTTCATAACACTATCTGGCTGGGAGAGGAGTGCACGCAGCTCTGCTGTTCACATTTAAATCCCAGGCTAGGCCTGCGGCCCCCTGGCTGTCACTAGATGAATGTACTTGATCAGTAGTGCAGTCAACCTTTATATTGACGGCGAAAAGAATGAGATAATAGAAATTACAGTTACCTCGGGAACTGGATGAGCTGGGGAAACTGTACCTGGCCAAACTATACTATAAGCAGTGCTTCTTTGTCTCCGCAAAAAGAAACATCTCCTTTGTTGAATGCTCAACTGCCTGTGTAAGAAGATATGATTGATTGGTGGAGAGAAAACTCTTTGACAGCCAGTCACATAACCTGCAAAGAGAGACGTGAAAAGAAAAATATCAGTTATTATATCCTTTCATTTCTTAGACATTGTCAGATTAACAGTTGAATCGATGTTTGTCTTTAGCCAGATTTTAAGAAGAAAAGTGAAAATGTGAACTTTTCAGCTCTTCTGAAACTACATTTTGCTTTAAATACATTAGAAATATAGGAACAATTAAGGCACATCAAATATACATGAAGGGAAACCTGTACTAAGAGCATTAGGTAGGCCACCATTGATGAGCTCCTCCTGAAAATGTGAGTTGCTTGGCTGTCTCTGGTTTCAATATATTCAGAGTCACCAACCTGGAATAAGCATACAAACCAGGAATGTCAGAGTGAATTCCTTATTCCTAATTCGCAGACTAGTTCTGGATCAGTGACTTAATAATTAATAGTACTAAGGCTGTTGGATCACCATAACAACCAAGGAAAACAACATTTGCATGAGTGGATTCCAGCAATGGCAGCCTTAATGCATCTTCCCTACAGGTTTACTTTATATCAGAATCAGTGCCCTTGGAGTGCCATCTTTTCATCTTACACATATTTAGGCAGCCTATGCACAAAGGGCTAAGTTTAGACCTTTGGGGAGGTTTAGTCCAAGAACTCAAGGAATTACACTTATCTCTCTTTGCTGTTCTTTACAGATACAGCTCTCCTAAAACTGGGACCAGGGCACAGCGGTATCCTTAGCTCAATGATCTGCGCGTTCTCTACTTAGTAACCGTGCTATTTTTGTAATTGAATTAGTCACTGCAATAGAAGTCTATGGGGCCACCATTGCAGCAGCTAATACCAAATAGCAGGGACTAATTCGATCTTAATTCGATGTAGGGTGGTTAAGGGAACAGCATAGAAATCGCCAGCACGTTTCTCTGGCTCATATAAATACACACTTCATCGGGAATTTTGTCCAGTGTGAAAGAATGATTGTGGCTCTTCAGCTGCTGATTTAACATACTGCAATGTTACACTACAAACCAAGTAGACGGTAGAGATCCTCTGGAATGTACAAGCCGCCTGTCTGGTAGTCCAATCACCTATACCGATTCTTTCACATCCTAATTGGCCAGCCACACCAATAGGACAAACCTTGCAGGTCCAGCATTTTCCCCCCACATCTTTCCAATTACTAGGACATTAAGAAGATAGAACATGGACTTAAACCACTGAGCTGAATGTAGCACTGCACTCTGGTTCCAGTTTTACAAGAGCTGCATCTTGGAATGAGAGCACAAAAGTGTAAACAACACTTTACACTAACCCCCTTCTGTTCTTTAAGATAGAATTCCTGGAGCTCTCCTTTAAATAGATGTAAAAGGAATCCTATTTATCAGGGACAACACAGACACTATTATTCCCACCAACATTTGCTTTAATCAATGATGCTGGAGAATGTGATTGGTCAGTGAAGACAATGACATACTGTATGAGTTTAAGCCAGTTAGCTTAGCATTTTGGTTTTCAAGTTTTAAGAGGAAAATTAGTAACTGAAATACGTTGTGTAAATCAGAGGACATCCATGCAAACAGGAACAGCATACAAACTCCATCCATATAATACCCTGGATCCCATGGTACACTTCTCATCATTTAGCATCTGAAAAGTAGCTAGGCCTGAATTTGAATTAGGCGCAGCAGACCAGTACCTAAAGATGCCACTACGGGAGGGGTGCTCTACCTAGGGTTAGCTGTTGTTTTGACAGTCAAAAGCCTGGTATGAAAGGGGCTCCTGCAACACAGACCTGGGTCACAGTCTCTGTTGCAGGGGTGCTGGAAGTGACTCCTATATAAAAGGAAGCCTGTATAAAAGCACTGTTTTTAGGCTTCCTTTATGAATACATTATATCAATATTATTGTTACAATGTCTTTTTTTTTCATTTAGATCAAAGTTTTGAAGCAACCTGGCAAGAGAAAAAAAACCCAAACCAAAAACAATTTATTTTTCACTGATATTTTTCCACTGAAATCTGATTAGTTGTTATGGGCTACTGGACTTCACACATTTAGAACCATGCAAAAAAAAAAAAAATGAAAAAGTATGCTGTCCATACTAGATTTGAAAGTTACATATTTTGCTCTAGAACAATCATTTGGCTAAACAAAAAAACATGTTGGATTGGCCACATTCTAATGGATTTCTGCCAGGAGTGATTGTCATTTTTGATGGAAGCAATTGGTAATTGATTTAATTGCCCATTTGGTCTAACAGATTACCGAAATATAGGATTTCTTCATCCAAACAATTGTTTTATCCATATCAATACATGTATGGGCAGCAAAACAATGGAATTCACATGCAGGGCTCTATTGGGTTGCCAGCTTAGCAGTATTTCACCAGCCTATCTGGTAAAAATCAGACCTGTTGTTAATGTTATTAATAGAAAGAGATCATAAGGCTGGTATTGTTTCCCAGGAAAGGTTCCAACCTTACTAGTAGGTGTTACATTGTCCATAACAGGCAGCCAACAGATTTCCTGAACAAATATCTTTAAATGAAACCCATACATAGCTTGCTATTTCTGGCTTATATTTCTAAGTATGCAGCGACTGAAGTCGGATCAGTGTCTCAAAAGGAGAAGACGCAAGAAAGTCAGTATGGCAGCCAAGCAACCAGTATTTCAGAAGGAAGGTTAGTAATATCGGCTTATGTATTTATTTTATGATATCCTTAAATAGGCTGTTTGCCTGTACTATACCCCCTAATTGCCAGTCAGACAGCATGAACCTGCTCTTCATCCCATGTGACTGTGCACAATACAACAAAAACAACAACTAGGCTATGTAGAAAAACATACTTTTACCATATCAGAAAACAGCAAGATATATGAAATATATATTTACATGTGAAACGTAAAAAAAAAGAAGAAGAGCTTGGGTTGTGCTAAGGTGAACCCATTTAATTTGTCCCTTGGCAATTTCAATCTTTGCTTCCAGTACTTAACATAAAAAAAGTAATGCAGATAAACTTTAGCAGGTAGCATTATGTTAATCTTTTCATAAGACTGAAGTGTTCTTGAAAATCTCGCAGTGTATTACGCGGGCACACACATTTCATTCCTCATGAAGTAAAGAAGGTCTAGAATTAGATTTTTTTTCTACATCTGCACAGATGTATTTATTGGGGGCCAAAAAAAATCACTTAAGTAGATATGTTATGAACATGCTCTGGCACATGAAAAGTTTGGTATAAAATCTACTATTGACAGGACATGATTACGCAATTTCATTCAAAGATTCACTATAAACACCATCTCTATTTAGAAGATGGACATAACCCCCTAGTTTAAGAAAAGGCCTCTCTAGGAAAACAAACTTACATTCTATGACTTCTCCATGTCTCTTAATTCTAATTGGGATTTCAGTCTTAGTTTCTGTGGAAGGATTGAGTAGGTTTGAACCAGGAAAGCAAGCTTCCATAACACAACAGGATCTTTCTCTGTGGTACTCTATACCAAACAGTGTGCCTTCTGCCTTCCTCAGAAACTGCCTTGAAATTGTCACACGGCATCATGCCTTTCAATGCCGCAGGTGGCCTGTCCACTAGCATGAAAATAATGACACTAATCCAGGGTGGGTGGGATCTTTTCAGAAAAGGATAGAAGTTTGACTCAGGCCTACTTCAGCTCCTGTCCTCTGCCATGATACGGCTCCTGATGTGATGGAATGACTCGGATGTGAAGGGGGTAATGAGGTCTCTGATGGGAAGGGGGCTTCCGATTTAAAGTGGCATCCTGGTGTGAGAAATGGTGAAAGGGGGGATTCTGATGTGAAGGGAGAACCCAGTGTTTTTGTGTGGATTCCCCCTTAAAATCTATATAGGACTCCTATCTCAGATAAGGGTATGGTATGGAATGTGGGGGGACCAAATGTCATTTTTTTTACATTTACTTTTTTTAGACAGGGATGTCTTGAGATTTTGCACACCTTGAATGGGTGCCGTGACTGGAAAAAGGTTGAGAAATACTGCTTTATACATTGCTTTGCTGTCAGTCATTATAATGTAATGGTGGGCAAAGACACAACAATTTCCAGATACTGGACTTCATGTGAGCTTCCCTTCCCCATTGTAAAGAAAGTACCTGCTCTTACCTTTACAGAACCAACTGCTGCCCGGATCAGCAAATGGAACCCTAGTGAGAATCTGAACCCAGGTATATGACACAGTTATACACTTCTCCTTTACCTCCCACAATGCATTCCTTGGTGCCTGATTGCAATCTGGTGGAGTGTGAGAGAGTACCAGGCAAGCAATGCTGTCCATTTAGGAGGAGGTATCTTATGGTTTGTGCTGTATAGCATTAGTCTAAGTTTAGTTAAAGTTTACGAACTTCTATATCCTTCACACAGCATTGTCAGTGTTTATTTGCACTTTCATGTGGAACCCTTTATATTTTGTCTCTTTTTTCACATTCTCTGCAGCTTTCTGTAGACTGCAAAGCTTTCTGTATTATTTCTACTAACTAATGGAGATATCTTTGATCACAGGTTTGATTTTCCATGACATTTGTCTACTGGAAAGATTTCATGTCTATGTGGACCCACTCTGCTTCCCACATCACCAATCACATTCAACCTTTCAAGGCTATCTGTAGGGGAGAGGTACTAGGAAGGATACAGCAGATATGCTTGGGATTGTATACAATGAGAGGATTTCAGAACAGGGGAAAGGCTCAACAACAATACAACAAGTATTAAGCAGGTAGGCTGCCATTAGACATTTGAAAGTTTAAAGAAGAAATCTGGGGAGAATAAAAAATATAATCCTTGCAGTGAAGCTATACTCGCGCTAACACAGAAGGTTTTATTCCGCCTGGAGTTCTTCTTCAATGGTCATCTTTCACATGAGATCTTTTTTTCTTTGTCAAATCCTCTTTGAATGGGTAAGGATACAAGCGGGCTGCACCATCACGTAGTAGGCGGGCCCTTTAATTTGTTTATGATAATTCTAGCTCTAATGGTGCAGCATTTTTATTCTAGCCAAG